AAATATTTTTTTTTCGAAAGTATTATGAGAATAGAATAGAGGACTTACTGGTATAACTTATTTCACAAAAAAAAGTTAAACGTGTAGCTTTATGAAACGTCTTATTTTCTCCATGCATTTAGAATAAATCCTACATCTTTATATATTCTTACGTGTAATTACCAGTTGATGATATCCTTGTAGAAGAAAAAAAACATAAATAACATAAAAATTGTATATCACACAGCAGGCAGATCTGGATGCAATTAATTAATAATATTCAACGTTTTACCAAAGGCATTTATTGAACATAAAACACAGAACACATTGTTGCAGTGGCACAGTGGAATCAATTGAACGACTCCCGTAGCCTGAAGAAAAAAATTATTATTAGAAGGACGACTTTATAATTCCAATTTCCAAAGGCATGAATGGAGAAAGTTTTCAGGATATTAGAGAGAGAGTGCTTTTGGATCCGTCGATTATCTACAAGTAACCAGAGAAACAACTCAGGAAATTGTCTGTAGTTGCGTCTCTTCCTCAACACAAGGTCACTTCTGGTTACTAATGGTTCGAACCTCCTCTTTGTCTGCTTGGATCACGTGACCTGGGCCCATTACACGTCTATTTACTTCTTTGACTTTTCGTAAGAAAGTACTTACGGATTGCCTTGGCTATTTCAATTAATTTTTCTAGAATGACAGTGTCTCATTATCTTAGACATCACACACATCCGTTGTAATTAAATAATTCCATATTTCATAGTAATGTTGTTGTTTTTTTATCCCATGCTGCTTCGTTTAATCATATCCTGTAGTTTCATTGTCTCTTTATAGTCCATAATTATAGCTTGAGGATCTTATATACTGTTCTCTCTCATTTCTCTCTAATAATAATCCCTCCAGTTAAGTAATATCACGTTTCTCAATTACTGCTTTTTATATAACTCGCCTCTGGTATGTGTTTAAACATATCCGTCGGCTACCTCACCATCAACATTCAGTTACATTCATCCACATAAATATTTAAGAGAACCAGACAAGTTTGCCTTATACACAAAATGAAAAGAACATCTGAGGGAGCACTTCTCAAGTCCTGAAAGTTATTCACAGTGAAGGGAAAATGTAATAAGAAATCTTTATTCATTAAATATCCATTTCTTTTTCCCCTCAATAAGTTCAATCCTTCAAACTTTGGTGAATCAGAACGCCGTAAAACTTTCCGAAACCTTTGATTTTGTCCTCTCCCCCTTCTCCCGCCGTCCTCCTCGCCTTCCTTCCGTCTCTCTAATATCTCCCTCTCTTTATATGCCTCTTTGATTTTCTACTTGAGTGAACTTAAACGTGGAAACTAAGAACGTAACGATGGACACACAGGAGCTTCGGCTTTGGTGATTTCCTCTCCTCCTCTCTCTCTCTCTCTGTCTCTTTCTCTGTCTCTGTCTCTGTCTCTCTGTCTCTGTCTCTCTCTGTCTCTCTCTCTCTCTCTCTCTCTCTCTCTCTCTCTCTCTCTCTCTCTCTCTCTCTCTCTCTCTCTCTCTCTCTCTCTGTGTGTGTGTGTGTGTGTGTGTGTGTGTGTGTGTGTGTGTGTGTGTGTGTGTGCATGTGTATGTCTCTCTCTCTCTCTCTCTCTCTCTCTCTCTCTCTCTCTCTCTCTCTCTCTCTCTCTCTCTGTGTGTGTGTGTGTGTGTGTGTGTGTGTGTGTGTGTGTGTGTGTGTGTGTGCATGTGTATCTCTCTCTCTCTCTCTCTCTCTCTCTCTCTCTCTCTCTCTCTCTCTCTCTCTCTCTCTCTCTCTCTCTCTCTCTCTCTCTCTCTCTCTCTCTCCCTCCCTCCCTCTCTCTCATAAATGTGGTTAGGCGACATCTTTTTAATTGTGGACCAGCGCTGGTATTTATTCTATGCATTAGGGAGGGGAACTTAAAAGGAAAAGTACTTTGGTATTAATGATGATCTTGACTTTCTGTTCTTCTATGCTGACAAGGAGAGAAGACACTGGCATCTTTTCACCAGACTCTTTGTTTTAAGGATGAAAGATAAAGACAGTTTTAAAGGTCTCTTTACCTTTACCCACTCAATAGAAAAAAAATACTTTAGGGATAATTAATTATGTAGATTATCGGCTTGTGTGAATCTGAAAGCGGGGAAAGATCCGGGTCTGACAGGGATCTTAAAAGTATTAGATATATACGTCCTTTCTTATATACATCTATACGTTTACAGTGTATGTATATAGAGATAAAAAGATAGATATATAGAGATGGATATAGATAGATGAATAACACTGAATGACTAGATAGTCGGGTAAGACATAGACTAATGAACATATAAATATATATATATATATATACTCTAGATAGACGGGTAATAGATAGACTAATGAACATATAAACAGATATATATACTATAGATAGAAATTTATATTGATATATAATGTAGACTAATAGAAAAGATAAAACTACATATATACGCCCTGCCTATACACACACAAAGAACCGCAGGAAACACAAGTAATCCTCTCAC